GATCTTGTTGCTTCTTGTGTCAATGCAGCGGTTTCATTGGTACCGACTTGCAATGTCCACCTTGATCCCTGTGATGAACGGGAGGCGATGGAGCTGTCAAAGGATTTTCCCTTCTGCTCTCTACATTCCAATGATCCAGTGATCTTCGGCTCTCACTAAAGTTGAGATATTACGGGGTATTTGGTCGCGCCCCTCAATGGCGGTCTGCCTTCCTTGAGGGGAGGGAACAGTGCGTACGAGTGGTGCGTAGCCTTTCGCTCAGGCAAGCTGTCCTTAGTGGCGTCCTGGAGGGCTCAGTATTGGGGCCATTGTTGTTCGCGATCTATGTAAATGACCTGCCGGGAGAGCTAGGGGTGTCATCACTAATATTTGCTGACGACCTTAAGCTCTGGATTATTGTAATACTAATTAATACTAATATTGTGGATATCCCGGGGGGTCCTGAGACAGTTCAGCATGCCTTGGATAGACTCTGGGAATGGTCTACCTTATAGTTGATGCTCATAAATAGGGCCAAGTGCTCTGTTCTCCGAATCGGAGCTGCTAATCCTCCCACCCGATATCTTGTCGGCGGTGGTGAACTCCTTGTTGTCACTCAGCAGGTTGATTTAGGGGTCGTACACGCATCAGCACTTCATTCTGCCCGACAATTGGGAGAAGGCTGCTGGTCAAGGGTTTCGTATGATGTGGTTTATCCGCCGCTCTTTCCTAATCCTAATGGCCAATATGTTTGTAAAGCTATTCTCGGCATTTGTCCGACCCCACCTGGAATATTGTATCCAGGCTTGTCCACCATGTCTTAACCGAGACAAAATGGACTTGGAGAGGGTGTTACGAGTGGGCACTCGGTTAGTGCAGGGTCTACGGGGACAGACGTATCCTGAACGCTTGCTCAGTTTTGGGATTATTCAATGCACTACCGAAGGATAAGTGGGGACCTGACTCTCTCTTATCGTAATTTGACGGGTAAGATTGGCCCGGACTTGTCAGGGCTATTTAGTCCCACTACGTTACCTAATCTCCGCGGTCACCCACTGAAACTGCATAAACCACGGTCTGATAGGATTAGGACGGAAACTCGTCTGTCACGCCGAGTTATAGATCGCTGGAATTCGCTTCCAGATCACGTGGTTAGGGTACCTACGGTTAAGGGTTTTGCGCGCCAGCTCGATGCTCTTGGGTGGCAACAGCAAGCCTTTCCTTTTTCCTAGCTGACACCCTCACTTTTCAGTTCTTTTTTAATGACTCAAATATCTTGGTATTCCACTTGCTTAGCTCTTTCCACTTTCTCTTTTTGCCTTCTAAGTTTACTTTTTTCTCTTTCTTACTTCACGTAACCGGCCCAGCAGGGACTGCTAGGGCAGGATACGTGGGCATTAATTGGTTGAACCGGGTGTGATGCGGTCTTGGTTTTAGGTCCATCAGTGTTTCAAACTCCGCCAACTCCTGGTTCAACGACTCGCTGAAGAAGAAACACTCGCAGGATGATCCTACTGTTCCAGTCCCGCTTGAACTTGTTCCCCTGACGCTTACTGGTAATTTTGCGGTTGTTCCCTTTTTTAATCCCGTTTTCCATCCTTTTCTGCCTTTTTGTTGTGGTCGTTTTACGGTTGTATACGTGTTTTCCACTTCTGCTCTGTTTTCCACTTAAACATGGTTGTCTCACTAAAAACCTAGTCGGATGAACCGTTTGATGAATCAAATGCAGCTTGCAGCAATTCTGCCTGTCCAAGGTCAGTTACGGATTCATCCGGTGGTATGCAGTGTGATGTTTGCTCCCGTTGGTATCACAAATGTTGTACCGGCCTCCGGGCGAATCAGTACAATATGCTATCATCCAGTGAAAACCTTTTGTTTAGATGTGCTGATTGTTGCGCTCAGAAAGCGAAGCTCCCGGCTTTCACCTGTGCTGAATTCAAAGCACTAGCATCCAGATTTACAGTCGTTGAGAAGGCGTTAGCCGAGCTTGCCTCTCTTGCCTCACTCAACTCTAAAGTGGATTTATGAAATCCTTGAATATTTCGAATGTGGACGCTGTAACGGACTGTCCTTCTGCTGACAGTCCATCCATTGACGAGACCTTCATCCTACCGGACGCTTCAGTTCACATACAGATAGCTCACACACAGATGCTTCGGACGGCATTGTTGACCCGCCCCAAATGGAATTAGAGTCACGGCCTCCTGGGCCATTAAAGAATAAGTGTAAGAGGGCAAGGAAAGCACGCAAACCTTCCGCCCCCAAACCGGGAGGTGATAAAACGCTCAAGAAACAAACGCCTGAGCTGTAAACACCACCTGGTGTTGCAATTCCCTCAGTGAGACATGAGGTGCCGTCGTCTTCGGTCCCACCGATTCCTGTCAAACAACCATGTGGCGTGGATGGTAGAGCCTGTGGAGTAAATACACCTCGTCGGGGTGATTCTTACACAGATAGCAGTGTGATTTTCATTAATGTCACTGAATCCACTGCCGCTCTTCCCACCGAGCGCATGCTTGATGATCTTGGTTTTTCTTAAAGTTTGCTTGACCAGGCTTTTACCACCAGGTTTCCCTTGCGTTACTGTCAGGAAGCTCATCAGGTTGGGGAACGTTCCGGTTAATCAACCAAATCCTCAACCCCGTCTGCTTAGGGTGGTCCGTTCCACCCCAGAAGAGCGCAGGGCCTTACTGCGATTTACCTTCAAGCTCCAAGGTAGCAACGTTAGTGTGTAACCAGACCTTCCGTTAGCGGATAGGTTAAAGTTAAACGAAGCCATCAGAGACCTAAAAGCCCGGCGAGCATGATCTCCGATTGGTAGGTTTTCAGGTGATCAGCCGGCAATGAGGCTGGACCTTACCGTGGTGCGATGGTTTGTGTGCCTCAGCGATCCATTGAGCTATGCTGGGTGGTGCTTTTGCACCTTCAGAGTCACTCATACCAGATTGGTCAATGGTTAGAGGCCAGACAAACTCAGCCTCCTGGTCCTCCAGGTTGGGGTTGGAATGAGGGTGGCACCTTATTCCTTAAAACGGACTCCTTGTAGCCCAACGCCAAACCCGCTGCCTTGCGGTCAGGTTTTTGAACCAAAGGCTTTGGTTGAGAACCCTAATCGTTCTCCTGTCTAGGCCTGGGCAACCTGACAGTATCCTGCCCACGCAATACCATGAATATTATCTCAAACAAATTGCTGATGCTTTGGCCACCGCAGAGGATAATCAACGGTGCCCTATCTGCTGCATCGAGCAGGGTGGATAGGGGTTTGGATGCTACTGCTCAAGCCTTCCCGTCTTCTTATTCCCCATCTTACGCTTTTTCACTCTTACCGTCCCCTTCCAACTTCACTTATATCCCCCCAGTTTTCAGCCCCCCGATTCTTGGCCCTCCCCAACATGCTTTGCTAGGCATTTATCTTCTAATTTCAACTCACATGTGAACGCGGAGCGTCACTCCTCTGCTGTCGACAAGCCCATGTCCAACCAAGCGGTCCATTCCAGTTCATCGGCTTCCATTTGGAGCCCTCGATCCTCCTTCAGATTGACATGCCTTAATGTACGCACACTACTACAGATCGGTCAACAGGCAGCACTTGCCCGAACATTGGAGACCCTCTCGATCGATATCTGCTGCTTATCAGAGACCCGCCTGCAAGACTCGAGCTCTGTGCTCACTCTGCGATCCCCTTCAGGTGACGCAAGCAGTATTTTCTCAGTGCGCCTATCCGGTGACGATGCAGCTTCGAGCACCGGCCAAGCTGGTGTTGGCATTGTCCTGAGTCCCCGGGCTGAAGCTGCTCTGGTTGATTGGATTCCAATCAGTAGCCGGATGTGTGCGGTCCGATTGGCTGGCTCGTTTAAAGCTTCGAAGTCGCGCGGGACTAATAGGTGTCTATTCATCATCGCTGCCTACGCGCCCACAAACTGTAGCGATGATTCGGTAAAGAACGACTTCTACCGCCAACTGACTCAGCTCCTTCGCCACAGAAGAAGCACGGACACTGTTGTGCTGGCGGGGGATATGAACGCACAAGTTGGAAAGTTGTCCACTGATGAAATGCATCTGGGCGGTCAGCACGGTGTAGGCTCCCGTAATGATAACGGTGAGCGGTTACTTCATTTGTGTGAAGATGCTCGCTTATTTCTTGCGAGCAATAATTTCCGACACAGCACCCGCCGGAGGGTGACTTGGCGCCCACCAGCCTCGAACCAGCCTTGGACGCAGATCGATCACATTGCTATTAGTTACCGCTGGAGAGGCTGCATCCAGAATTGTCGCTCGGTTTGGAGCACATGTGTGGACACCGATCATGCACTTGTATGTGCTGACGTGCGGATGCGCTTTGGCGGACGCCCACGACGACGCTGTGAGCGCATTGACACCAGCCAACTGACAAAGCCAGCTGTTCTGAATGCGTATCAAAGTACGCTGACATGCGAGTTGAGCAATCGCTCACTGGAGACAATTGATGGTCACTGGTCACATGTTCGCCAGACCTTACTAGCAGCGGGCAAATCCTCATGTGGTATGTCTAAATGCCAACATGGACATTGGGTCTCTTCTCGGTCTCTGGAACTTATCGACGCTCGCCGGCATATCCCGGCTGGAAGCGAGCACAATGAAACTCGCAAAGAGCTCCGGGCAAAACTCCGCGCTAGCCTGAAGAGAGACCGCGAATCTTGGTGGTCTCATCGTGCGTCAGAGATGGAAGTGGCCGCTGCCCTTGGCAACCATCGTAAGTTATTCCGTCTGATACGGGAAACGGGCAGCAGGAGACCTGGTGTTAGTGAAACTATACGTGACGAGAGTGGACAGCCTATCCACAATTTGTCAAAACGTTTGGAGCGTTGGGCTGAGCATTTTGAAAAGCAATTTAATCGGCTAGAATTGTTCGATTCTTCGCCGGCGAGTGATCGCCCTGCTCCGTGGGCTGTCCCTTTGGATCCACCCTCTCGCTCAGAAGTCGAACGTGAGATCGGACTGTTGAAGTTGAACAAAGCCGCGGGACCAGATGATCTTCCTCCAGCCCTCTTCAAATTCGGAGGCTCTGCTCTTATTGATGCTTTACATGAATTACTAGTGAAACTGTGGGAGCAGGAGACTGTCCCAACCGACTGGAGCCGCTCCGTTATTGTTCCCATCTTCAAAGGCGGCTCGCGCTCGGAATGCGGCAACCATAGAGGAATCAGTCTGATCTCCATCGCCTCCAAATTACTCGCCTCCATAATTCTTCACAGACTGACTGGCGCTCGTGAAAGCCAGATTCGTGAGGAGCAAGCTGGGTTTCGTCGGGGTCGTGGCTGCATCGACCACATCTTCACCTTGCGTCAGTTGTTGGAGCACCGCCACACATATTGGCGGCCCACCGTTGTCGTGTTCCTCGACATCAAAGGTGCCTTCGATTCGGTTGATCGATGTGCCCTTTGGAATTGTTTACTCAGGAAAGGTGTGCCCGAGAAATATGTAAATATTATCCAAGCATTATATTTGCGTAGCACGGGCAGAGTGAGGGCTTACGGCAAGCTGTCGCCACCCTTTAATATCTCCAGCGGTGTGAGACAAGGATGCCCGCTGTCACCTTTCCTCTTCAACTTCGCTATTGACGAAGTCATGGAGTTTGCATTTACAGGACATGACTTGGAAGGTGTGGAGCTACTCCCAGGAGAACGACTTCTTGACTTGGAGTATGCAGACGACATTGCCCTCATCTGTGACAGCTCCCAGACGTGCCAAGCCGCGCTGGACAGATTAGCACTGGCTGTCAGCCGCTTCGGGCTTTGCTTTGCACCATCGAAGTGCAAAGCGTTCCTCCAAGATTGGCAGGGATCGCCTCCTTCGCTGACCCTTGGTGGGGATCAGCTAGAAGTCGTTCAGAAATTCAATTACCTGGGAAGTTGTATCAGCGCCCTTGGGATCGAAGACGAGATCACGAACCGTATAGCGAAAGCTCGGAGTGCTTTTGCTAACCTTCGCCACCTATGGCGGCGGCGCGACATTACTCTCGCCCTGAAGGGTAGAGTGTACAATGCAGCGGTACGTTCGACCTTACTGTACGGTTGCGAAACCTGGCCCCTAAGGTCGGCGGACTTGAAGAGGCTAGCTACGTTCGACCATCGGTGCCTTCGCAGTTTGGCTCACATCTGGTGGGAACACCGCGTGAGTAACGAGCGTGTTCGACGCATTGTTTACGGCCCAGGAAAAGGAACTGAACCGCTCAGCACCGTTATTTCCCGCACCAGGCTCCGATGGCTCGGCCACGTGTTACGCATGCCAGCCCACCGACTCCCTCGACGTGCGTTGTTTGCTCACCGGGGATGTGGGTGGAAGAAGAGGAGAGGTGGCCAAGCGATGACTTGGTCCAGAGGAATGAAGTCCCTCACTTCGGAGCTAGCCTCGGTTGGAGCGTCACGGCTCCCTGGTTGGGGTCCAAAAGACGGTGAACACGTTTGGCTGGATACACTTGCTGACATGGCAAGGAGCCGACCTCAGTGGCGTTTGTGCTGTGAGTTTCTTTGTCCCTCCCCATCCCTTTTAGTCTCCCCCTCCATCTACGATCTCATTTCCTAGGGTAAAACATAATAAACAAATTTTTTTTCCTTTTGCCTAGTAGCTGGCTGGAAGCTTACCGGAACGATGCCTATCCGTTGCTGGTAGCTCAGCTGGCATGCAACTGTTGTATCTATTTTTCCTTTGTGTATTGTGTTATAAGTATGTATGTATGTATTTCTTTCATGTATTGCGGCACAATAGCGGAGGTGTTTTCCCACCTCTAGCTGATGTGTATAATGATGATGATGATGATAGAAGCCTTGTGAGCATCTCCAATGGAATCATTGAGTTTATACGCACTCACTCTGCAAACTAGTGTCTGGTGCTGGGAAACTTCAACCTCCCAGAGATTGGGATGATCTATCTTGCAGTTCGGCGCTGGGATCATTCGGTACAACACTGCTGGACTTAACGCTGCAGGTACCACTACACCATTTCGTGGACCTCCTCACTAGGTACGTGAGAAATCAGCAGTCGTCCATTTTAGATATTGTTTTTGCTAAGTCACTTGGCTTTGTAAATGACTTTGCTTACGACTTGCCTCTTGTCGCCAGCGATCACGTTTGCTTGTCTTTCTAGTGTACCCTTATCAGGCCTTGCCAAGCTACTACCAGTTGGTATCCGAACATTTGGGCCGCGGACTTCCAAGCGATGCGGGATAGAGCTAGGTCATCGCTTTGTGTGCTATATGAGACAGACACTTCACATAACCTGGGAACAACTTAAGGCTCACCTCGTCGACATTTCTGCACCTCACATCCCACTGGTAAAAAAGAGGGAATCGAGAGCGCAGCCTCCATGGATAGATTCCGCGTGGAATGGCCTGCTAAAGAAGCGGTCTTTATGCTGGCGAGCGTACCGAACAGCTCTGTCGAACAACACGTTTGACAAGTATCGGTTGGTGCAAAATGAATGCAAGCTATGTCTTAGATTGGCCCGGCTTCAGTATGAAAAAGGCTTAGTTGATACTGCCTCGCAAAATTCCAGGAAATTCTTCGCTTACGTTAAACGACGCTGTGATGCAAACTCGCCCATACCACCATTGCTTCGAGGAGATGGGACCCATGCCTATAGTGACTATGACAAGGCATGCGTGCTTGGTGAGCGCTACTCAAGCGTTTTAGTCCGCGAAACAAATACGCCATGCAAAGAATTAGCTTCACGAGTCTGAGGACTGTTGTCTGGATGAAATTCCTGTAACTGAGTCTCAAGTTCTTCATTTGTTAAGAGAGGTGAACCCAATTAAGGCTTCCGGGCCAGGTTCTGTTCATCCAAAATTGTTGCACGAATTGACACTGGAACTCAGTGGATCTTTGACTTCTGTGTTTCAGAAGTCACTCAACAGCTGTGTCTTACCTACCAAATGGAAGGAGGCTGTCTGCCCGATTTTCAAGTGCGGTGACAGACTTACCGGCTAATTACAGGCCTGTCAGCTTGACTAGCGTGGTCGTTAAGTTACTTGAAAAATTATTACGGGATATAGTGGAGAACCATTTAAACATGTTTAATCTGCTTGGCGTAGAGCAACATGGTTTTCGCAAAGGATTTTCGTGTCAAACGAACTTGCTGGTAGCTCGTGAGAGCTGGGCTGAAGCCGTAGACAGTGGACATGCGGTGCATGTGGTGTTCATTGACTTCGCCAAGGCCTTTGACACTGTCCCCCATTCGGCACTCTCACTAAAGTTGTGGTCTTATGGAATATCTGGTCGCGTTCTCCAGTGGGTGTCAGCTTTTCTGCATGGACGGGAACAGTGTATTCGTGTGGGAACCAGTCTTTCGTTTCGACAAACTGTCCTTAGTGACGTTCCGCAAAGCTCTGTCCTAGGTCCGCTGCTGTTCTCAGTCTACCTGAATGACTTGCCGGATGAGCTTGCAGTACCATCGCTCTTATTTGCTGATGACCTAAAGCTCTGGAATATTGTTGATATCCCTGGTAATCCTGTGGTTCTTCAACGCGCTCTGAATAGACTTTGGGAATGCTCTGTCTTGTGGTTGCTGCTCATAAACCGGACAAAGTGTTCAGTGCTGCGTATCGGAGCGTCTGATTCCTCCACGAGTTATGTGCTCGATGGGAGTGAACTTCCTCACGTGACTCATCAGGTTGGTCTAGGTGTCGTCCACGGTTCCACACTACACTCTGGAGACAACTGGAAGAAGGCGGCTAGTAAAGGGTTCCGGATGTTGTGGTTTATCCGTTGTTCTTTCGGGACCTTAACCGCTAATGTGTTGTGAAGCTCTTCTCAGCGTTTGTGCGACCCCACCTAAAATATTGCGTCCAGGCCTGTCCACCATGTCTTGTCCAGGACAAAATGGCACTAGAAAGGGTGTTGCGTGTCGGTACTAAGTTGGTCTAGGGGTTACGAGGACAAACGTACCCCGAACACGTACTTAGTTTGGGGATGCATTCAATGCACTATCGAAGGATTAGAGGGGACCTAATCCTAACCTACCGTATTTTGACTAGGAAGGTTGGCCCTGATTTGTCCTGGCTATTTGGTCCTGCTAGATTATCTGGTCTCCGCGAGCATTATATGAAGCTGGACAAGCCGCGGTCCGATCGAATTAAAGCGGAGACACGGTTATCGCGTCGAGTCATCGGGCGTTGGAATTTGCTTCCAGAAAATGTTATCAAGGAAGCTACGGTTAAGGGGTTTGAGCGTCAACCAGCTGCTCTTGGGTGGCAACACGAAACCTTTCCTTTTTCCTGACTAATTCCCATCTTCATACTTCGATTCTACTTTCTGTACTTTCCCTCACCATTGGTATTATTCTCTTCTTTTAACTGCTTTCCCTTACACTTTCCCTTTGATTTTTCTTCCTCTCTTACTTCACGTAACTGACATAACAGGGACAGCTAATGTGAGGAACGTGGGCATTAAATTGGTAGCCCAGGGTGTTTTTTCGAGTGTTTTCGTTTTATACCCATCAAGAAGTTGGAGCACCCGTATCAACTCCTGGATCGACGACCCGCTCAAGAAGGAACACTTGCGGGATTCATCCTATCGTTCCAGTCCCACCTGAACTCGCGCTGTCAAAATCTCATTGATCGCCATTGCCGGACACGACGCTCCGCCCGTTTCTGTTCAGTTGGCTACGTTCCCAGCTACGATTTTGCTACCATGGGCAGTCCGATGAAAGTTTCAAGAAACTGGGATTCCCACCTGATAACTGTGCCTGGATAATGCTTCACAACATAGCTTTAAGCTTCATTGTGGAACCCTATTTTCGCAATGACCCCAGCGATGTCCGCAATGACTGGGAAGCGACGGAGCTGATAAAGGACTCTCCTTCTGCTCTCTACCATACAATAATACAATGATTCATCTAGCGTTGCTGTATGAACTGGCAAAGGAAGTTTGTGAGCCTGTAACACGCTTGTTCAAGTTCAAGTGCGACTGAAACAGTAGGATAAATTCCCGTAAATGTTCCTTCCGTGACGCGTCGTTTATCTAGGGTGTTGTTTTTCCGCGATAACTGTAATCTATAAGAGTCAGATCAGCGCGCGCGAACCACGACGCGTGCACGCGACTTGCATTGGCAGTCCCCGCCGCACCGATCACGTGAAATAAGAAACAGTGGTACGAAAGTAATAAGAGCGCGAAGTACTAAAAAGTAACAGATTTAATAATTCACATCGGTGTGAAGAGGAAAGTTAAGAACCTTTCCTTTTCTTGAGTAGTTCCGAACTTCACACTTCGAATCTATTTTCTGTACTTTCCATCACCATTGATATTATCCCCTACTTTTAACTGATTTCCCTTACACTTTACCATCGATTTTTCTTCCTCTCTTATTTCACGTAACTGGCATAGCAGGGACAGTTAATGCAAGGAACGTGGGCATTAAATTGGTGGACCAGGGTGTTTTCGTTTTAGATCCATCAAGAAGTCGGAGCACCCCTATCAACTTCTGGATCGACGAGCCGCTCAAGAAGGAACACTTGCGGGATTCATCCTATCGTTCCAGTCCCATCTGTACTTGAACTTGAAGGCCAAGAGCGTCAAGTCAGAGTTCGAACTCTTTCACCCTTGGTGCCGATACTACGTTCTCGGGTAGTGTATTTCAGGAATCCACTACTCGGCCTGATAAAAGAAAGTCCGCCCGGACGCCATCCTATCGAGGTTTGTGTAGTTTCATCGAGTGACCTCGGAGAGATGAAAGCCGAGCCGGTTGGCAAAGTCCAAATAAATCGGGTCCGATTTTCTCAGTAAGTATGCGATAGATCAAGACCAGATCTCCTCGATGGCGGCGATAATGCATTGAGAACATTCCCAACTCAAGTACTCTTTCTAGGTAAGAAAGGTTCCGTAGTCC